CAAATCACAGCTGGATCTTGCAGGACTGCTCAAGAGTAACCTGCTTAACTCAGACAAAGACTATTGTTCATTAGAGCAGGACAATATGTAAACAATTCATGGTATAGAAAATATAAGTGACAGAGCCTCATTTGGGACTTGTATGTCCTGGATGTACATAGTGTTCATAGACTGCCTCTTTTTTCAATGATACCATTATATGCTTCCCAAATAAGTAGTTAGAGATAAAAATCATCTTGAAGAATCAAGCTTAGGTTGATAGCACAGAACTGGTATTTCAGGAGACTAAAAAGCCAGCACAAATTATTTTGATGGAGTTTATTCCCAAAAAGAATAACATATATTGGACTTGACTCATGGCACATTTGCCAAAGATAAATCAGTGCTTAGTTGATCTGGAGGAAAAAAGAACTTTCACAGATCATTTTAATATTATAGCTATTTCTGAAAGATAGCTATTTAATCAGCTTCAGCCAAAAAAAAAAAAAAAGCACCAAAAGAGGATTGGCCAATTCATGGGCTTCCAGATTTTGCTAAACTTAACTTTTGGCCACTTTTGCCATTGGTCATGCTAAGTAGTTATACTGTGAATTGTAGGTCATCTATGCCTGGAAAGCCACAAATTTAAAGCCACAAATTCTGCAACCCTGCACAGAGATTATGTAGACTAGACCAAGTCTAGCATTAGAGATTGGCAACCTTTGGCATTTACTGTGGGCCAAAGAGACTAAGTCCTTTCTGTTTATTACCAAAGTTATCTTCCCTCCCCATTCCAAAACATTGCTGAATTGGGCAGCAATAACAAAGAGTGTCATTGGTGAATAGTGCTGCTACATCTGGCATTTAAGTTCTCTGAGAACATCCCAGGGTACAATTTGGAGCAGTGTTTGTCAAACTTAGCAACTTTAAGATGTGTAGACTTCAACTCCCAGAATTCCCCCAGCCAGCATGCTGGCTGCGGAATACTGGGAGTTGAAGTCTACACATCTTCAAGCTGCCAAGGTTGAGAAACACTGCTTTGAAGCATTGTTCCATAGCAACACCTCATTAGGAGCTCAAAGCACTGTGAGCAGTTAAAATGGCAAGGACAGCAGCAGAAGCAGCAATGCTTGTTGGTGAGAGCAGGGATTTAGGGAGGTACTGGAACCTAGTTCAACAAGTCAAGGGAAGGAAAGCAGATGAAATGAAAGAGCTTGGCTCGGCCTTCACATCTTTCAGGGATGGAGGATGCTTTAGCTAGCAAAGAGCTACAGTAGCTTTGCTTGTGCTAGGACAGAGCTATACGACCTTGGGGAGCATCACTGTGCTGAAGGTCTCAGTTAGGAAGACTGTTGAAGTTCCTGCCAAACCTGGTGCTGAACTGGATAGAGTGATAATCTACAGAACCTTATACATTAGAAATGTGTTAGTCTGCACCTGAAGGCTGCTCATTTTAATATTACAGTAATAGAAAATGGAAAGGGCAATGATGCAGAAATAGCTGAGAGTATAAAAATGCATTAGTCAAATGTGGATAACAATGGGTAGATGATAATATTTTACTTACTTAGTCTGCACTGGGACAAGAAGGCTGTCTCCAGTCCTTAAAGTCAGGATTTTACTATCAATAGTAACAAAAGATGTGCCTTCCTAAAATGATGGGGGAAAAGAGGCAGACTTTTAATTCCTTCTGGATTTAAAATAGACAGGGAGTTGTAATTTAAAATTTAAATTTAAAAATTCATCAGCATATCTTTATAAACAAATCTTGCCCATCTCTTATTCATCTTTGCTCCACTTCATCAACTACAGTAGGCTAATCGTACATACACAATTAAGCTGGTTGCTTGGCAACACAGACACATTCTTACTCCTTTCCTCAATGACTACTGCTTACAAGCATGTGGAGAAAAAGTTGGGAAAAAACGCTAGTACATTTGTTAGTATATTTCTGTCAGTCTACTACAACATTAAATACTTCCTTTCCTCTTTGGGATGCTCTTATAATTTTTAAATTTGAAGAAAACAACCCAAACAAATCAAAAGATTAAGTACAATCCCCTAAGCCCCATGATAAAAAAAGATATCTCTATTAACCAGCACTGAAGAAGAGTGAGCAGAAACAATCAAGCCAGGTGACTCACTAATAAACTAAGTTTGCAATACACGGATTGATTGGTCTGCCTGAAAATAGAAGACTTGCTGGAGGTATTATTTCCCTCTCTCAATTTCTTTTTCTGCATTTCTCATCTGATATTTGAAAAGCTTTCCAAGACTAAAAGAATGGTTCTCTAAGCCTACAGGGATGATGCAGACATTACTAAGGGGGAACCATTAGTGGTGAAAAAGGCTATCTCTGTCTCATCAGAGAGATGTGTGTGACCTAATTCACTTCTGCAAGAATTAAAAGAAGTCTGGTCTGAAGAGAGCTATACAGTACCTGAATGGAAGGAGGGTCATCATCAGTAGATGAACTCAGGCCCCTGCAAGCATTCAGAGAGGCACACTGTGTCTGGCTGCCATCTCTTTTTCTTACTTTTTGTAGGACAATTATCTTCCTTCAAAAAGAAAGAGCTGATTGCACATGCAATGCAGTAGCCTTCAGACCTCCTATTTCCCATTTTGGTTTCTCAAAGAGTCTTGCAGTCACTTATAGGTTGCTGGTTCAGAGCCAAAGTTGGCGGTCATCAAGCAGGGGAACTAAACTACTTTAGAAGACTGCAACCATCTTGAGTCAAGCACAACTACTCATGGATGATTTTAGTTTTGCAGTAGCTTTTCTAGCTAACTCCTTCTTTTGCCAAGTTTTCTAGCTTCTGACTCCATTTGTTATTTTATTGTTGTTATTATTACTATTACTATTTTAGAGAACTGTTCTTAGGCAGACAAGGATGACCTTTCTGGCCCTAAGGGCCTCATTCAAAATTAGGGCATGTGGAAGGGGAAAACCTGTGAGTATGCCTATGTACTTACCCCAGGTAGACAAACCATGCAAGTACACCCATATTTTAATGCACATCAGGATACACAAGGTTACTAAGAGTGGGAAAGGGGAGGAATAGGTTTCGCTGTATGAGTTGGAAAACTCAAAAAGTGGCCAAGGGCTGCAGGTGAGTAACACGCCACAGGGTCCCCGCTTTTTGTGCAAAAAGCCATTCTAATTCTTTATAACACAACACAATTTTGGAAAGAAATTATGTAAATGCACCCAGGACTCTGTCCATCTGCCTATTTGTTAGCAGGATAACTCTCTGGAAGCAGAACAGAATAGGATCAAATTTGGTGTGGCATGAGAATCCAACTAAAGAATGTTCATGTTAAAAAATGGGCCACATCTGGCCAAGGACTGTGATGAAAAATCCATAAAAAAAACTCTCTCCAATGCCCCCTTGTGGAAGAGCAGTGGGAAACACTTCAGAATGCTGCCAATTGTTCCCTTCTAAAGCCCCCACTTCCTTCGGGTCACATGACCCAAAATGGAGCAGCCATTAAGGGATTGGAAAGAATTCTAGAAGCCGAGCTTGGTGTGCTTTCCCTACCATGTTATTTTTCCAAGCCAATGGAAGGTTGGAAAGACATGATATAAAATTGCTTAGGACTGTCCCTGTCCTTCAGCAGGATAAGTCTCCAAAAGTGGAAATGAATTAGATGAAATTTGGTAGGGTGGGGGAAGCTGGAATTAAAAAATCCTGAAAAAATGTTCCCCAATGCATCCCTATGAGAAAGGCAGCAGCTGGGAAGGTTACTGACTGCTCCAGTCTAATGTTGCCCCTCTCTCTTCCTTCTCAGACATATGACCAAGAACGGACAGAAACTATGAAAGAGAGGCAACTGAGGCAGGACACTGATGAGTAATAGGTGCAACAAATTTCATGTCAGTACAGTTTTCTGCTGACTCAGAAATGGGTAGATGCAGAAAAAGCCCAATTTTTTTTTTTTAAATCAAGCGAGGAAACATCCAGAGTTTCTAGTTAATTTTCAATAATGTTTTGAAATATTTTTTTTTTAAAAAGAGGAAAATAAAGTTTGCCACAACAGATTACTGATTGAGGGCTGAAATCCCAGTGGTAAAACAAAAGCCGTAATATAATTAAAAGGAAAATAACTATAGGTGTTTATCTAGAATATATGGATGGTTCTGGCAGAAGGATCACTATGAAGGATTATTTCTTTGTAGTGACCCACCATTCCTCTGTAACCAAGAATCCCAGGGAAGGATCAATAAGATCAGTGCATATTGGTTCTGAAGGTTTGTTTTTTATACAACACTGTACATAATGAGTAAGAAATAAAGTAAATATCATATACCATCTGCCATATCCATATATCTGCATTCCTTCCTCCCTCTTCAGTTATTCCTGGTCCAAATATTATAACCTAGGAAACAACCAAAAATATGTTCTTTTTTATTTTAAGGTTATGTTTTTTTTAAGCCAAAACTATTTTGATACATCTGGACTGTGGTCAGATAACTGATCTATGGATTTTTTGATTTTACCTTCAGAGGCTGTAAAACTCTTCCCTCTTAGTTTTTAGAAGATCTTGAAATAAAGTTTTATTTCACTGGGCATTCAACCCCTAGCTAAGTTTTATTGGCATCCTTTGTGGTAGATTATTGATTTACTATTTGATTTACTACTACTGATGTTTTTATAATTTGATTTATTACTATTGCTTTTAAAATTTTAACATTTTGCCCACAGTCTTTTCATTTGAGCAGGCTATAAAAACTAGTGAATGAATATTTAGGAAATGTGCTTGCAAAAATTATATACTCTAGGAAAAGCAAATAAAATATAAAAATATTTGTGGGGTGGTATCATCCATATACTGATGATACTCAACTTTACATTGCCACCTTAGGCCGCAGGGGAGATGCAACTGATTTTTTATCCCAGTGCCTTGAGCCTTTCAAGGTCTAGATGAAGCTGAATCCTATCAAAGCTCTGTATTGACACTGTGTTGTCTCTGGACTGGCAGACACTATCCTGAAGGAGCAGGTTTACAATCTGGGCATCCTTCTCAATACATGGCTCCTGAAGGTACAGCAGGTAGAAGCTGTAGCTAGAGAGGCTTTTGCCCAGCCTAGCTTGGTACATCATTTGCAATCTTACCTGATACAAGAGGATCTCATTACAGCAACACATGCCTTCATTACCACCTATTTAGATTATTGCAATGTGCTTTATCTGGGGCTACCTTTAAAGAACACTCAGAAGCTGCATTGAGTCCAAAATGCAGTGGCCAGTGTGCTAACTGGCACTCATCCCTGGGAACGTTGCAATATGCCACAGCATTGCCAATGTGCTGGTTATAGGTTAGTTTCTGAGTGCAATTTTACATACATACATACATAAATTGCTGGTTTTGATCTATAACGTCCTTTATGGCTTATGGCTTAGCACCTGGATACTTATAGGACCACTTGCTCCAACCAGAATTGGGCCAACCTATCAGGTCATCTAGAGAAAACTACTCCCACTTCCCCACTTTTAGGTAAGAAAGAAGCCAGGAGGTGCTGCTTCTTGGTTGCAGCACCAGAAGTCTCCTTGCACAGTTCAGGCTAGCATCATCCTTGATTGCATTCAGAAAGATGCTGAAGACTGAGCTGTTTCAGATTGCAAATTCTAACCCATATAGTTTATTTTTCTTGACTTGCTATTTTTTATTGTTATTGGAATTAGAAAATGAGCAAATCAACAGTTGATAGATGTGCCCATTTCTAGCTATATATAGACCAGTGGAAGGAGAGGATCAGTAGGGGGAGTCTGGAGGTTAGATTGCACATAAAGGTTAGTACTTAAGGTTTAACTACCAGTAGGCAGAAAGATACATAATGTTAAGTGTCATGGGAAGATAACAGATTGTCAGTTTTCTTCCGGGAAATAAACTTTTGCCATGAGTACCAAAATCTACAAGTAATATCTACTACTTGTAGATATTATGCACCTAGACTATAGTGTGTATAGTGCAACACTTCAAACAGCAAAATATCTTCACAGCAAAATGTTTTGGTCAAGATAAATCTCTCAACAGATATCATTTCTTCAGTTAAAAGAGAATCTCATTTGATCCCTCTAGTTCAGAATTAAGAGTTGATTTTTTAACCTCTGTTTCAAAGTTGTCTCCAAAAAGACTCAAGGATTTTTTCTGAGCTATATCTTCTTGGTAATCATTCATCCAGCCTTGCAAAGAAAAGGGATCCATGACTGTGATATCATTTAGTGGGAAAGGAATGGCTCTTAAGATTTCATCTACAAACAAATCAAAAACAAAGAGAGAACAAAGTTATTGAAAAGACAGTGTTTGATACCATAACTTTTTTATTTTAGAAGATTCAAACATATGAAAAGAAATTTGAAACAGAGTAGACTTGTTCAGTGTTCTTCCAGAATGTAAGACAAGAAATATGTGTACATTACAAGGAAGCAGATTTCAATTTCAACTGGACATCAGGAAGACTTGCCTAACAGTAAGAGCTGTTCAACAATGAAGTAGATTGCATCGGCTGAGCCCTTCCTCACTCTGGTATTTAAACAGAGACTGAGTAACCCTCTATTTGGAATGCTGTAATAGTGGGTTCCAGCATAGGGCAGGGGGTTGGTCTAGACAACCTCGATGTTTCCTTCCAACTATTTTTCCAACTCTGCAACTTTTTATATAGTATAGCTCTGGGAAACTGAATGGGTTGAAGGATTAAATATTATTCCCCAAGACTTGCTACTCTAGATACTGCTATACACAAACTGGATTTCTCTTATGGCTGCAGTGCAATTAAAAAACAACAATGGATGATTATGTATGCTTAATGGAGTGTTTCTCAACCTTGGCATGGGGAATTCTGGAAGCTGAAGTCCACACATCTTCAAGCTGCCAAGGTTGAGAAACACTAGCTTAATGTTAAACATAGTGAGTCTTATTTCTGAGTTATTTATATTGCTTATAAGCTGCTTGGGAAGGACTGTTACAAATCTTGTGCTGGAGCTGACTCATACCAACTCGGGAGAGCGGATCGTTAAATTTTCAGGAATTTTGTGAACCAATTGAGAGCTGAACTGAGCCCCAACACCTACCTATGTAAATAAGTATTTGCTTTTAACTGGTTTCACCAACATTATGACAGTAGAGAATCCTGTCCACTCTCTCTGTGCCTTGTATACAGTATTTATAACAGATCTCCCATCCATTGTTCCCTTGTTCACTTTTGGGGGAAAAAACTCCCTTCAAACATTTTAAATTATCATGCTGCGTAATATAGCTCATTTCCATACTCTCCTACGCTACTCAGCAACATTTTGGAGGCTCTGTGGAACAGAAGTAATTATCACACTTTTAAATGCAATGCACTATATCTTCAGTTTGTATTCAAGATGTCTGAAAGACCAGCAGGCATTTCAAATTCTCTTCTGAAATTTTCTGATCTGTGCCCTGTGAAATTAACTGCAACATTCAGTTAAGAGCAAAGATAAAATCCCTGTTCCCACCCACATTTTATTCCTCAAAAGCCATGGGGTGCTTTTATAATATGTCTTTGGGGTGCTTTTTCAATAATGGCCCAAACAAGTTGCAGAAAAATATTGTGCATCTCAGTGGTATCCCAAATGTTCATTAAGAACATCCACTTCTAATTTCAGAAGTATAATTGGTTGGGGGTGGGAGGCAATGATGATATTGTATTTGTTTTCAGCTTATTTTTTATTTATTTTTATTTATTGATCATATTTATATAATTGCTCATCTCACAAAACAGTGACTCTGGGTGGTGTACAACACTTGATTTAAAAAAAATACATATAAAACAATCATTAAAACTATGAAAGTTATGAAAATACAACAACAGGAGAGGATGATGTTATTGCAAAGTTTCTAGTATTATGGTGTAATAATGCTGCATAATTGCCACAACTTGTTTTTCCTGGGATAATGTCTTGAACAATATGTTAGATGAAGGAGGTTGGTGGCTGAAAACTGATGAAGGTAAAGTGAAAACCAGTTTATACTGGTAAATTATCATGTAGGTTAGGACACATAGGACAAAAAGTTGTGATTCGCCCAATACTGCCCACAGTGCACATCCAATAAATCAAACATCAACAAACTTTTCTGCTGCTGGGCACACCCTCTCATTTTTACCATTTTTAATTTTTATTTATTCCAGGGGTGGGATGGAGTGGAGTGGGGTGGGGACTCTGCAAAAGCCTTTAAAGGAGTATTCTGCCAAACAAAATTCATCTTATGTACTTAGTTTTTATTTGTATTCTACAACTTATTATTTGTATTTTGTAATAAAACAATTAATTTGAAAAAAAATCATTTGCGGCATATTCCAAAGGGATTACAATCTAAAATAATTTACAGTGAAAATACAGAAGTGGGAGTTAAAGGACACAAAGGGCAGTTTATGTGTTTATTATGCCTACTTTGGCTTTGTTACGGTAAGAGGCAATAGGTGTATTTTTACTGTTTTAATGGAAGTTCCATATCTACCATATGTTCTTGTTTGACACAGTAGGGATTTTTCACTTTTTTGATTATTTATTATATGTTCATGAGCTTAAGAACTACACAGGCTTCGTGTATTTTAGCCCTTAATTCACAACAGAAATGACTCCATTATTGCTAACGGAGAGCTGAAGAAAAAATGCTGTCCTCATAACACCTGAGATTACTGTATATTGTTTTTTTCATAATCTCACCTGAGAAGAGGCCCAGTGAGACCGTGTACAAACAGTTATCTCCAAGAGGTCTTCTAATACTTCACCATGGGGAATGAACCATGGAAGATCTTTCATACATATTTACAGAAAGAAGTATCAGAGTGTGAAGAACATTTTTTTTTGCTTCTTTTGAAAAACTTTGTTCAAAAATGCAAAATTTCTGTTTTTCATTTTTAAAAAAAAAATCTGAAAGGCTCAAAGGGATTAAATTCATTCTTTCTGAAACTGTTCAGAATGAGGCTGACAAACAAAACATTGAACAAGTCCTTGCTCCATGTGGCTGGCAAAAGCAGATATAAACACCTGCTTTACAGCAAGCCAAGCCTTTGTTCCATCTATCACACTAATCTGGTGTTCTCCAAATGGGTCAGCATGCTGGCTGGAGTTGATGAGAACTGTTGCCCAGCCTTTCTGGAGGCAGCAGTACACTTGCTCAAGATGTTATGGAACAAAATTGGATACTTTTGCAAGCTAAGCATGCATTTTACCACTTGAAATATAGCTGTTTCCCAGAATTAAGCATGTACTTTCCAGCTCCCCAAAATTAATCTAGATTTTCTTAAATTGCTGAGGATGACAGGATCATATGGAAGACTGAGAACATGTGGAGTCCTTAGGGTCCTCTGAGCTTGGTTATTTTCTTGCAGATGTTTTGTTACCCATCTAGGTAACATCTTCAGTGCTAGATGGGTGTGGGGTTTGCTCTCTGTTTATATACAGTAGCTTGCCCTGTCAGTGTTGGTGGGGGAGTTGTTTTTTCCTTGTCTGAGTTGATAATTCTTTGCTTAGGTTACTGTTTACTGTTTGATTGTCTCTCTGGGGTTAATCCTGGTGTTAATCCCTGCTTCTCCTCTATTGATAGACTGAGAACATGTTGCGAGTGCTCTCACAATAGCAGCTGGGCAGGAAAGAAGCATGTTCATACACACAATGGCTACTGCAACTATATATTTATATCTTTGTTCTTTTGTTGGGGTTGTGGGGGGTCAGAAATAGTCACACTTTCAAACAAAGCACTAGGTGAAAACTGCCTGTCATTCTTATAGTCAGGTGGGGCAGAAAGTCTTCCAAACACAAAGGGAAGTATCTGGGGATACATTAACACTCCCCTGATACTCCTAGGTATTAACCTATACAGTCCATAATATTGTCACCTATCCAAGTATTAATTAAGATATTGGAAGAGAGATGTAGGAAGGTGGGACAATTCTGTGTCTCTAGAGTTTTACTTCAACTGATACATTCCTGGTAAGCTAGGGAGACCTTGCACTGTCTGTTTCCCTTCAGGCCAAATATATCTTTCTAAGGAGGTCCTTGGAAAAAGTGCAATGCTGAAAACCTCCTCAGAGAAATAGATGTTTACTGAAGTGTGAGAAGCACTCCCATGAGCAAATATCTACAAATATGGCCTGGCAGGAACCAAACACAAATGGGGAAACTGTTGGAGGAGTGCAGAGGTAATGGCTACTGTATAGCAGCAGCCTTCCCACTTCAAGTGGTGGATCTCTCTTGATTTCCCCCTGGATTTTCTCCTCATTAAATATTTTAGAACTGTAAATCTTAGTCTATTTCAAATCACTCCGAGGTCAATCAGCAGTTCCTAATTTATCCTTTGCTTCCCACTCCATGCCCAGTGTAGGAAACCCAGCATTATAGCATTCCCAAGAAATGGCTATCCAGCTTCTCTTTGAGGACCTGTGGTTAGAGAGAACCCATCACTCTCTTAAGATGAAGTTAAATTGATTGGTTGAGAAGGGAAGGTACAGAAAGGGAGTAAAAATGAAACCCATCCTCTCTGATGATGGATAGAAAAATCCAACTAGAATTTTTCAGGAATGGTATAATCACCGTTATTACAAATGTATGGAGCGTGTAGGGTTCCTCTGCCTTTTGGGACTCACATGTAATGATGATTGTGGCTTGGGACAACTGAGGATCCCAGTCTGCCTGCTGAGTTTAGCTTGGAAGTAATGAATCATTCTCCCTTTCTCTGGCACATATTTGGTTACCAAACAGAGAAAAAAAGTAACTTTTCACTTGCAATATTAATTTCATTTAGAGGAGTATTAAAAGAGACTAAGGATAGGAGTGCAAGAAAAGTAAAATTAGTTAAGCTTTAAAATTATTATTGTTTGCTGGATGAAAAATTATTTTAGTTCCAAAGTCATTTTACATCACCTGGTTTGGGTTTTCCAGTTTGATACTGCACTGAACTGAAAAATCTGAAATAACAAAGGTTCAGTAATTCTAAAATCCATCTGTTCCCCTAACATTAGATTATATGGAGAGAAACCATTTAACTAACAGTAGTCCTTTGATGGATGAAATTATTATTACAGTATAGTTATTCATATTCAAGCTTCAAGGAGACCTGCCATGCTCACTTCCAAGTTGTTCCATGTTAATCTTTCTCTGTATTTTCTCCAATTTCCCCAATACAGTCAACTTTTTGTATCCAATGAGCATGCTCAGTCCTCAACAGGGTACTTTGGGATTTCTCTTCCTGGTCTTTTGCCCATTAAGTATTATATTTTGACAAAACCAGGATTCGTCCAAGCATATAGATACCACCTTCTAGAATATCTCTGGTGCCATATAGACTATCTAAGGACAAGCTCTCAAAGAACTGATACTGGTATTCTATGATGATATAGTCCAAGCACTTTACTAGTGTGGTTGTAGAATTTAAATGAGGAGTATAGAAAAGGGGGTAGCACTGAATATAGAATTAGGAACAAAATAAATGCACATATTGTTCACACCCATTCACACCCATCATATATGGTCATTCAGAGCACAGCTGGACAAGATCATTGGGAAATAAAACTTCATCCCTCTCATTCTAATAATCCTGAAACATCAAACTACTTTAAAACAAGTGCCAATATTATTATAACAGTTAGCTCTAATATACAGTAATGCTGTAAATCAAGTCCAACTGTTAATTCTGTATAATGAAGGAGTCTTGGCTCTGCGATAGATGATCTCAAAAAGTTTGTGCAAGGAGGAACCTGATTAGCACTTGGACCACCAGGAAGTCCCAGAGAAATTCCAGGAAAAATCATCCTGGGAGAAGGCAATGACCAACCATTTCTCTAGTTGCGAAGAAAGCCACATAGACCTTCCCAAAAAGCCCCAGGAATCAAGCTCAACCTGAAGAAGACTTACTCTTGAATTATTGGGATAAGTTGTACACCAAGATCCTCACAGTAAAACCATCTTTCAAAAAGGACATCTGTTGATTCTCCAACATAGTATCTGAGAAGAGAAAAAAAGAAATTAGATTTCTTAATAAATATATGACATCTTTATCATATAAAAGAGAAGGCAATTTACTTTTAAAAATAATGTGATATGTTACGAACATGAAAAAAAGAGTGTATAATGCTTTGAATTTAATTCGAACATACCTGAAAAGATGGAAAAACTGAACATGTGATGTCAAATGAGATTAAACGTATTAGAAGACCATAGTTATATGGCAGCATATTCATGATCTCAAGAATGAATGTTTTTCATCATGGCACGAAGTAGGATAATTTCCCCCAAAGAAGTGACAGGTGGGAGAGGATTATGAATCCTTCTCTCTCTAGTTCCATTAAAATCAAAAAGACTTGATTAGATGATGTTTTGTGCCACCACATATACCTTCCTTTAGTTCAGCATTGATAAAAACTACACACAGAGAGGAAATGTGCCATTTTCTCCAGTAGTGGATTTCTGAATGTTTGAAGCCCTGTGATGTCCATCAATGCCTGAACGCTTGTAGTGGGAGAAAGACAATAAACTCCAAACATCCAAATAAGCTCCATCCAATTGTATACAACAAGGGACCCAGATCCACTAATACTTTATGGTTCTCAGAGTTTTGGTTACATGCAGAACTTCTTTTGTTGAATTAAACATACAATACACAAAACTTGGTTCTGTAGACCCAAGACTCTACAAAGAAGTGAGAGCATTTCCCACATTATAGTACTGTCCATGTGCACATATAATTTATTTGTGGAGGTAAATATTTTATATTTTTTTCAACTCTAACCCCTGTCACAGTGGCTTATAACGATTGACAACAAAATGACATCTCACCGGAGTCCATCAGTTTCTGTTTTTAATCTTCTCCTTTCAATTACCAATCCCACAGTGTCTGCATACCTTTGTGGAGAATGTGGAATCCTGGCTGGTAAAAGAAACATCTAGGATAAAAATGAAAGTTGAAACATGTAGCAATAGCAGGAGGTTTGATTACGTCTTCTCTGACTTCTCAATTGGTCTTTGTTCTCCCATCCTGATGGGAGTGGAATGCCCTGAGTCAGTGAACAAGAGTTTGGCAACAGGAGGAGATGTAATGGAAAGAAGGAACAACCTTGAGGAACAGCAGGAAGAGCTGCTACCAAGATAACAGTCAGATAAAAGAAATCCAAGTCTGGGGCAGACAAGACCTTCCTCCCTAGTTCTCACAAAGATAAAGAGAGGGAAGGGGGAACACCATTCAAACTTGCAAGATTCTGTTACTGTAACCTTATAGTAAAAGTAGTATTAGCATTCATGACTTTGGTGTGATCTACCTTGAAAGGCTAACAGGATGAGACAAAGAAGAGAGGAATCATGAATTCTGTCAGACTTACATGCTGTCAGGGGAATGAAAAGTTTATGACTTGAATAATTGCTGGCTGAAAGGGCTGTGTCCTGACAGCTGTAGATTGCCCATTGTGTAGGACTAAATGACTGCTTCCTACTGAGCAAGCAGACCCTGTACAGAAAATGTAGGAGGAATGTAAGATACAGTTATGAGGAAGAAAACTCAGTAAGTGAGCTAACAGGATTTTAGCAAAGGAGTTGAAATCCTACCAAATTTTCATTCTAAGTACTATAGACAACGGATATTAGCTTAACATGAGAGCCTAAGAAAGGAGCAAAAAGAAATAAATGCTTTTCTAATGGTTGTGCCTTAAGAAACAGAAGTGAAGATAGACTTGACTCTATAATGGTGACTTTCAGTGCTTTGACATGTTTGCATTCATTCATGAAAATAATCTGGCATATATTACAAAAGTTACAAGCTTGTAGCAATGCTTGAAGAAAAGATATGAGAGTTGTAGGAAAGAATGGTCATATCCCATAGTACGAGAAAGGAAAAGATTTATTAGTGCAAGCAAAAGAGACACTGCAGCAAAAGCTAACAGTAGAAGCAACTCTACATAAGGAAAAGGAGCAGAGTTGTCAAAGAGTAACAGCTAAAAACAAAAGATATAAAAGATATTCTGCCAACTGGTACTCAGGAAAAGTTTTCAGGATATTGCAGAGAAAATAGACTTTGAGCCTTTGAGGAAAAAAGAGACACTGCTGAACAGGAGACAGGAGGGTAGATCCTTGAATACCTGCACCTTGGAAGATGACAAAGAGAAAGACAGCAGTAATTTGCAACTCATGAGGAACAGGAAAAACATTCTACTGTCCTCATCCATAAGCTTTTAAAGGTGTCTAGTAGGCCCATGGATTACAGTTATGACAGAATAACTTCCAGGACTTATTCCTTCCTACTAACCCAAGTGGGGGGAAACATATTGCCACAGCAACTACAACAAAGGCATCAAGGAGTTAGAAATTAACACTGTGGTTGCTCAAGAGATGTTCTCATTCATCCTGCTGACCATGGAAGAAGAAGTGAAAGAAAAGAATACAGTAGGTCAGGGTTCCTCAACCTTGGTGACATGAAGATGTGTGGACTACAACTCCCAGAATTCCCCAGCCATCATGGCTGGCTGGGGAATTC